AAAGTGGTAGTAAATTGAAACATCATGATATCTCTTCTCTGCTTATGGATATACCGAAGACATCTCGCACTAGTATTTCGCTGCCGCGCTCGACATCCCCACGACGACATTCCACATATACTACAAGAGCGGGATAATCGTAAAGTACTCAAGCTACTTAAAACCCGCATTCATCAACGCGAGCATGATGGCGCGTCTCAAGCGCGCAGTAGCCGACTTCGTAGGGTGTTCGGAGGTGCTCTTCAAGAGGCTCATGGATACTGTCCGCATCGAAGAGATGTGGTTCTACATGACGCGCGTCAAGCGAACGTTTTACCTGGCCTCCACTGAAGAGCCGCATCGCCAGTGTAAGTAGAACCAGATCAACACAACACAAAAGTTTTGTTCTTATCATAAGCTGCTCGACCGCACTGGGATGACGATACTGGCAAGTGGTTCGATGGGAAGATCGGAACTTGGCATTTCACGGAAATGGTGCCTGCTCAGCGCACGAGTCGCAATTGCCCTGCAGGAACCAGGGAGTTGAAGACGAAGATAGTCGGCAAGTCAGCATACCGGAAAATGGTTACCGACAATATGTGCAAGAGTGCCACAATTGTCGGACTGTGGAAGATGTTGCGGATGCGACAGAGGCGTCGTGGAAGAAGTGGACATTGAGACATTGGACAACAACTTCATGACTCTGCAGTCATACATGCAAGAGGTGATCAAGGCGGTCGGTGACAACAACTACAAGATCCCGCACATGGCGAAGATGAAGTTTGCCTAAGGTGGGAAGTCCCAAAGGAGTCGCCTGTGACCCTACTGCGTTTAACGACGGCTGCATATGCCTAGACCAAGATGACGTCGACAAGAGGCTTCATGACTCTTCTGAAGGAATTGTGAAGGCGTTGGAAATGGCGGAAGTTTGCAGGCTGCTCGAGGTCATGGGATTGTGAGTTGATTAAAACACTCCTCTCACAATTCTTCGTAATAGTGTATTTACTGATCTGAATCGCCTTTTAAATCTATTTCCGAACTTCATGCTCATTATTGTTTGATCTATTTGGAACACAGGTAATATTAAGAGCGTGTACATCATTCAATTAATGTAATGCTGGATGTGAAAAATTGGCTTAAAAATCTTGAACACGAATTATCCATGTAGATAGTTCTCATTTGAAATCA